ATAACATTCAACAATTTACAACAACAGTTTGTATCTTCCATGTTTAATCAGTCTTAATGGATTTCCTGAATGTAAACTTGCCTACTTGCCCGTTAAACCCATGTAAGCTTTTAGCATCCATAGTAGCCAGCGGCCAGGAGTTCCACCACGTAACTACATGCTGCGCTGAAATGGCCTTACCTCCTGTGGTTCATTTTTGACTTCCTAGCTTTGTCAGTTGCCCTGCAGAGCTTACATCAAAGAAAACGGCAAGCAAGCACCTCTAACCAGGCATTCCATCCATGCCACATGTGTCTCCAGACATCTCTATCTTAACCTTACTATAGGATTTACTAGGGAAAGGAAACAACCAAATGGTTTCTCCTCCACCCCCATTTTATTTATCTAAACTGAATTTCATCCACCATTTAAATGCCCTATCAGTCCAATAAGGTCTTTCTGCAATGCTTCACAGGCAATGCTGTCTTTAAAACCCTCAATTATTTAGAAAGACCAGCAAATATCACTGTTCAACCCCTTTATTTATGAGCACGTTGAGCAGCAGAGACACCTGAACTGATCCCTGTGGAACTCCACTATTGAAAGATGACTGTTTACTCCTACCCAAGTTTTTAGGCATTTATTATTTTTCTTGCTAGCAGGACCTTCCCCCTCTTCTCCCATGACTCCTTAGTTGGTCATACAAGGAAGAATTACCGACTATGATGGCTTAGGGATTTGCCAGACATACTTTGCAGAAAGGGCACTCCTTCCAAAGAGGAACTCCGGTATTTGGCAACAGCTGTCCAAATGCAGGTCTTTGCAGTCTGACAAAACACATCTTCCAATCCCTGTGTTTGTCAAAGGTGTTTTAGGATAGTGTCTCCTGTTGGTTATTTTAGTATATTATTTTGATTTACTGCATCTAAAGGGATCACATACCCACATTTTTCAGTCTCACCTGATATACTTTCACCACCAGTAACCTAAGCAATGAGTATGTTTTTGTAGACGTTCTCAAAATCATCTCCAACATTAAAAGGTTGGAGACAAAGTTACCAAGAGAAAACAATACAGTTTTAGATTACACTTAGGAACCAAGAGGGATTGTTGGATCTCCCTTATAGATTTGCTAAGATACACCTAGGCTAACAGAGGGGGTCTGAGATAAGTATCAGCACTCTGGATGCTGGCTCTGAAAGGATCTCAAAGCTAGCCTTGGGACCTAAGGACCCAGATGTCGCTGCCATACTCATTAGTGCAATCTTCCCTCGGAGCATGTACCCCCCCCCCCGAGTTCTTCTCTCCCTTCCCTACCTCATGGTCTTTGATTAAGATGGTTCATATCTCCTGTTTTCTTTCTGCTTTTCTTTTAAATCTTATTTCCTAGTTCTATCCAACAGCAGAGCAGACTTAGTGGCTCGCATCTCTGCACTAGTTGGGTGTGGTTATCCTCCTTGATCAAACCTTTTGTAAGGGTTTCAGCATCTACTGTCTCACCTTGCAAGGTAGAAAAACCCACTGCACCTCAGCTTTCATTAACTCTTCCTTCCTCAGACAGGAGAGTTCACATTTTAAAATCCCTTCCCAAGCTACACAATAAACCCATGACGTATCACCAATGCAGACTATTCTTAAATGAAACCCACAGTCACTAGCACACGTGCTGAAAGGATTCTAGACAGACCACACGTAACAGTATTAATCCAGGTGACAGAGTTGGTATCAACTGCTTATTCAGCAGTACACACTTTTTTTGTTGTTGTTGTTAACTCTGGACACAAAACTGACACAACAGTATTTCCTGCTTTACATTTTTATGTTTCTGCATAGGTGTACAGTGAAGTCAAGTATAAGTGTGGTAAGCATACCTAAACCTATGCCTGTTTAAATCTGGCTAGCATGAGTAGCTATAGTGGCAAAAAGGTAGCAGCAGACGCTTAAGACCTAGCCAGCAAGCCAAGAATGATACTGTATTGTATTTCTACAGCCTTTCCTGCCCCTATCAGTTACAGTACAGCAAGCACAGGTATGCTTTGTAACAATAACTTTCATTGCATGCCCTTTCTGCAAAAATACTGTACCAAGGCAACCATGTTATTACCTGCAAATTTCCCAGTCATCCAGGTTTTTAATACTCTATCACTGGCAAAATTAAAAATTGCTATTTGTAACCAACTGACTTACAGATTTAAGTCATCTACTGTAAACCCTTAAACAAGCTGTCATTTTCCTTTTTTTTTTTTAACACGTTATTTTCTACCCACAAATTCAACAGGATCCAACAAATGTATTTAGAGAGTAAAAGTCGCACATTCGATATAGGCAACAGCGTTTTACACTGGACTTCAGTTTTAAAAAACCGAACACTTGGGACTTGTAAGTTGCCAGGCAGAAGCATCAGGGCAGTAGCGCAGAATTCATGAATGAACATGTACCAGCTCACTCATCTGCACTGCACTCCAATGAAAAGACTCTGCTTACAGAGGCCTATTCACAGACTCCTGTCTCGGGTGGGAGTTTTGTCAGCGCAAGGTCTAAAGGTGCTGATAATGGCCATAACGATAAAAAGTCTCGTATGAAGTGAGCCCGTGAATAAGCCGGCATTTTAGTGCTCTAGAAGTGATGCCTACCATTCAGATGATACAGTATTAGGTCTAGAGTCTGCAAATATACAGGCAACCTGACTAACGTAAAGCTGCTCATGTGGACCGGCGTTTACCGAGACGGATTGATGCCTTCTCCTGAAAATCACTCGTTTCTTTTGGGGATGTGCGCAGCTTGCCTCCCGGGAGGTACCATTTTCCCCCGAAAGCCTACATGCCGTGAAAGCCAGCACGCTCTCCCCACGCCGTTCACACAAACCAAAGTTTTGCCGCTCTCGCCACAGCGACGCAGTGCCGGTGGGGAGGGGAGACCAGCCCCGGCAGCCCCGGCCCCGC